TCCTCTACCCTAATTTGGCCCCTGAGAACCACTGATATGCATTGTCACTTAATTTTACCTTTCTTTGAATATTATTTAGAAGGAATTATATGTAGTATTTTCTATCATATTTTACCTCTACATATATCATAAACCACAAAATTCAGCGTTACAATTTTTGTTGTAAATCATGGATTATCTTCTAAATAAAAGAAGAATAGGAAATGTAGTCTTTTTCTCTTTACACATATATCCCATTTCTGTTATCTCCATTCCCTTCTGTATGTCTGAGTTTCCCTCTTGTTTATTTCCCTTCAACCTAAAAATATTCCTTTAGTATGGAATTCTGTATCTATAGGGTTTGGGGTTTTTTTTTTCCAATGGTTAAGACTTATAATTCCATTCCATTGTCTTTTGGCCTACATTATTTTTGATGATGAACTATCTGTCATTTGTATTGCTTTGCTTAATGTATAATATTTCTCTCTCTTGCTCTTTATTTGTCTCTCTTGCTCTTGGAAGGGTGTGCTTTCAAAAAAACTTTTTAATCTGTTCTTTTCAAGCATTTGACTTAGATGGACCTGCGTGTGGTTTCGTTTCTATTTATTCTCTTTGGGTTTCTGAGATTCTTGAATCTGTAAGTTGATGTTGTTTACCCAATTTGAGGAAATTATTTTTTCAAATAAATTTTCTATCTGAATCCTTTCTCCCTTCCTCCTAGGACTTCAGCTACATGCAAAGTATCTTGATATTGTCCTAATACTGATACTAGCTCTCACAGTTTCTATGAATTCAGAATTCTGAATCATCTGAAATTCTGAATTATTGGGTAGTTTCAGCTGAGGTCTCTCATGAAGTTGCAATCAGATGTTGGCTGGAGATTCAGTCATTTGAAGGCTTGATTGGGGTTGAGGAAATTACTTCAATTACAGTTCACTCACATGGCTAGCAAGTTGGTTCTCCCCACACCATTTCCATGGGGCTTCTTGAGTATCCTCATGCCATGGCCTCCCTCAGAATGAGCAATACAAGAGATAAAGGAAGAATCTGCAATGCTTTTATGATGTTGGAAATCACACCTCTTAACTTCTACCATATTCTGGTTGTCATATAGGTCAATCCTAATTTAGTGTTGTATGTAAACTCAGAAGGGTGTGAGTACTAGGAAGTGAAAATCATCTTGGAGATTGGATACTGTATTCTGCTTTCAAGTCCACCTACCATTTCTTCTGCAGTCTGTACACTTCTATAAACCCTTTGAATAATTTTTTTTGCCAAAGTTCAGATAGTTTGCTTGTTCAGTTTTTAAATTTCCCATAGTTTCTTTTGAATAGTTTTCATTTCTCTGATACGACTACCCGTCTATACACTAATTATGACTCTCTTTTCCTTTAATTATATGAATATATATATATAGTATTAAATGATTTGTTTATGAATATCAACCTATGAATCATCTTGGGGTTGGTTTCTATTGATCAATTTTTCTTTTGACTATGGCTCACATTTTTCTGCCACTTCACGTATCTAGTATAGCTAGTCTTTTTTTTTTTTTTTTGGTACTCTGTGGATTGTCAGTGGTTCCTTGCAGAGATTCTAGATTCTATTAGCTTTTTCTTGAAGAGATTTCTTTTCTTCTAACCCACAGTTAAATTTGGTGGGACTCATACTCCAAACTCTGTCTCTCCTGTGGTAAAAAACAGCTAAAATTTCTCAGCTTTTTCAGCCTTCACACTTATTGTTTTGTGCTTTTTGCTGGGTTCCTTCGAATCTCCCACACATATGCTTAGTTCAGAGATTAACCTAGTATTTGAGCACAGTTCATATGTAGATTTTTGGATTCCTCTGATGTGTGGTCCCTTCTTTTTTGGAATTCTCTCCTCAATTTTTAGCCTCTCTGCCAGCCCTAAATTCTGTTTTCTGATACCTCAAGCTACTAAGTGTTATGCTGCCTGCAGAGCCTTCAGAGGAAGAGCTGAATAAATGTGCATCTTATTCAGAAAAGTTCCTTTCTTTCATAAATTACATCATTTCCAGTTTTCTGATTTTGGTGGTTCTTTCTGCACATTTAAATAACTATTTTTACACTTAATTTAGAAATTATAATTGTCATATGCAGAAAGATCAGTCATACCAGCGCCTCTACCATACCAGAATGGAACCTTGTCCATTTATGTTTGCATGAGAGACAAAATAGCTCGTTAGTAGCCTTGGGACCCCAATCTTGTTCAATGATGGGCTTCACTGTAAGATGCCAGAAATCAAGATCCTTTGTTGAGGGGGTAACCTAACTGTCAGTATTCATGGGTCCCCTTCCCCTTGGGTTGTTTAGTTTTCTGTTTGAGAAATCCTCTAATTTCTGTATAGCTGGGAATGTGATAGATACAACCCTATTTTTCAGCATTCTGGCTGCCTATTGGACCTGGAAATCTCACCATTTATTCTGTAGAGCTGTGTGAATCCCTCTGTTTTCAATACAATCAACGCTGTACCTTGTGGTAAGACATAATTCATTATTGTTCAACATTTCCAAAGATTAAATCCACTCTCTTTTCCAGGGGTTTGGGGGGGGTGTGTTTTTTGACTGTGAATGATAGAAGAAGAAACATAGAGGCCTAAGAGCTTCATATAAAAAAACATTGAACCAGTGTCTTTTTCTCCACTCCACTCTTAGAAAGACCTGATACTCTAATCCTTGAGTACTTCTGAAGTTCCTTGGTAAGAATTATATTTCTTCATTTTGGCTCCTCCCATTGCAAATCAGGGTTTCAAGTCTATTCAGTCTTTTACATGAGTTACTATTTGTTCATCTGTTCTGAGATTCCAGGTTTTAGTTGATATCATTTCTCCCTTTCTTTCTGTGGATATATATGCCCTTGTTCCTTTTCTGGTCATATTAAATATTTCATACAGAGTCATAATAAATTGCATGTATTCTATTCCTGTTTCATCTGTTTTAAAATAATATTTATTCGTCTTGAATTTTTAAATGAACAAAAACTGCATTTACCCTCTTTTCAAACTTCAGCTAGTAGCAGTTTTTATAAAAGTTTGTTGTGAAAAGCCTAAGTGTCAAATGACCCAACTAATATTGAATTTGAATATCAATTCTACTATCACCTCTGTACCATGAAATGGTATTTCTTAGCTATTGTTCTCTAAAATAGAAGGAGAAAAAAGCTTATGATCTCTTTCAATGTAATATGCTTGCTTTGGGCTTATGTTATAAAAGAATTGCTCACAACAGACAAGTATCTACATGCAGTGCTGCCACTTAAGGACTTGCCTCAGAGGTGTGAATAAAAATGGCCTCGCCACTACTTCATGCCCATCCCTCTGCCAGTCAGTGCAAGTCAAGGGAAACTTATTTAGTAAGAACTAGAATCTAGTTTCAGGAGCTTTATCAGCTTGATTTGCTTATGAATTTGTTTTCTAACATGAAGATTAGTGAATTCATTCTCTGAAAAGTAACAAGTCATGTGAGCATTTTCAGTCTTTTACTATATGATTCAGTATTTAATTGAATTTGTAAGAATCTGCATATACTTGCTATTCTTTAGGCCATTTGTAAACTGAGCATATGCTCATCTTCATAAAATTACCTGTGACGGATAGTTTTTGTATTTATTTTTCATTCCCAATCAACTAAGGGTCACATTCCTATCATTAATTGGTTAGATTTTTGGTGTTTTGTTTTTGTTTTTTGGTAGTTCACCAATATAGCACAAAAGCTATATTGATTAAGAGTAAGAAATTAATCAATAATAGAAGAGACTACTGGACTGTGTTTAGTGGTATAATCAGGAATTGAGACACACTGAGAAGAGTTTAGTGCATGTTTCAGGAAAGTCAGACCAAAAAAAAAGGACTAAGAGTAACACCTGTGAAGTAAGATTAAATAAAGGGCTTTGAGTTAGCGAGAAATGAGATCTGATATTATGTCTTTATATAATATACAAATATTTATTACAGAACATAATGACTAATTATTGTTCATCTCTGCTGAAATCTAAAAAGAAAAATGTTCAGGGGTAGAAATATAGATGATATAGATTTAACCAGCACTTAGAAGGGTAGCCTGAAGGTTGATGGACAGCCATTAGAATGCTTGTGATGGAACACATCTCTTGGGAAGAGGGAAGAGCTTTAAATGTAGCAATCTACTCTGTCATGAATGATGACAAGTCCCACCTTAAGGTAGAGGGCCAGACTAGTTGGCTTCCACAGGGCCCTTCGGGGTCACTTATTTTGCTAGTCTTCAGAAACTGGGAGTCAACTAGACATAGCAAATATCTGCCCTTTTCAGGTGCTCCAACAGTCAAAGGAGGCAGTGCCAGCCAACAGCATCTATTCCAACTGAAGACTTCATTCAAAGGTGAGTCAGGTCAGCGTGGATCCAGGCGCTTCCCTTTCCTCCAGCTTTCACTAGCTCCTGGCACAGGAGCCCTGGGGGATCTGCGACCATAGGACACCCTTCCCAGCTGTCAGTATAACCTTTGACAGAGGGAGGAACAAGAAATAGCTGGTTAGCTGGTGTTAGGTGGGAGGGGCTCACCATCGAGACACGCTCAAGGAGAGATGAGTTGCGCCAACAGCCAGGTCTCTTTCTCCATCCTGCTTGCCACCCAGACCAATGTGCTCCCAGAGCGCGCTGGGCGACTGCCACTCCCGGGGTGTCCCAATGCGCGTGGTCCCTTCCAGGCTCCTGGCTCCCCGGGGAGGGCCCGTGGGATGATGTCCTGGTCCTTGTGCCTTCTCAAGCTCCTGCATCCGGAGCCGCCCTAGCCGACACCGCCGCAGCCACTGCCAAGGAGGGAGAGGGAAAAAGGGAGGGGGTTGGAAAGCTCGGCGGAGGGAGGAGGGGAGGTGGGAAGGGAAGGAGCGAAGGGGGAGGGAACCTCTCTCTTTAGCAGTGCCTCCGCCTCTTCTCTCTCGGCTGACAGCGACTCGGGTTCTCCCTCCACACCCTTTGCCAGTTCCTTGCCCCCTTCTCCGCCCATTTTCTCTCCGAATTGTGCAGAAAAGGAGCCGCAGCCCAAGCGCGGCTGAGGGCGCCGGGCGGGGGAGGCGGCGGCGGTGGGTGTGTGCGTGTGTGTGAAGGACGCCACCTCTTGCTCCTGCGTTTGCAGGCGGCAGCGGGCGGCGGGGCTGCTTGCTTTGGCAACAGAGGCGACAGCGGCGGCAGCTTCCGGAGTCCCGCCGCGAAGATGCTCAAAGTCACGGTGCCCTCGTGCTCAGCCTCGTCCTGCTCTTCGGTCACCGCCAGTGTGGCCCCGGGGGCCGGGAGCCTTATCCCGGATTACTGGATCGACGGCTCCAACAGGGATGCTTTGAACGATTTCTTCGAGGTGGAGTCGGAGCTGGGACGGTAAGACGGAGGGCGGTGAGCTGGGGCGCGCGGAAGGCGCCCTGGACCTAGTGGAGCCGGGTGCCCTGCGCGCGGGCTCGGGCTTCTGGGGAAGCCCGCGGCGAGCACCGGGGGCTGTCCCTCTCGAAGCGACAGCTCCCGAGGATGCGAGAGCCGGCCTCCCTGCCCTTCGGTTTCTACCCGCCTAGTGTCTGGGAGAGAGTTCAGCATCATTCAAGTGAAAGCCGGGTCTCTCCGGGAGCGCCCAGGCCGGTGCAGCTGCGAGCAGCAGTCCGACTCTCCCACTCACCCTCCTCCTCGCCGGCTGCCACTTCCCTTGGATGACAGCTCCCACCGCACGTGGGCCCTGCTTTCCCAATTGGTGTCTTTGCTCACGATTATAGCTTGCCAGAGGGTCTTGTTTGTCCAGTTATTTTTTGGGGTGCGGGGCGGAGGGTGCCTCTCCAAATCATGACAGAATTATTAAATTAGATTCTTCCTTCTTCCCCTCATCAAGCTCTCCAAAGCAAGTGGCACTAGAAATTAAACTTAAACACTAGCTTCCCTGCAGAGTCTGCTCAGGAGTGAAGGGGGAATGAATCATTTAAGAGAGTTGAAGGCAGAATAATGAACTAGTATTGCTTTAAAGAAGAATCAACACATGGAGTCCAGGCAGCGGTAATTAGTGAGAAGAGTTCTGCTGCTCTTCTTTCATGTGTTGGAGTGATTTATTTAAATTATGTATGCAGAAAGCCTTCTCCCTGGGGTTACAGGAATATCCCACATCCCTCCTCTGAAGATCCAAACAGGTAGTGGTTTGGCGATGTGAATGATGCCATATGTTCTCATGTTTTTATCCATTGAAAATTATTTTCTTTCCCTTCCTTCTTTTTTCTTTCTTTCCTTTCTTTTACCCCTAGATAAGGAGACTTCTTTTCAACACTCATTTTAGAACCAGGTCCTTTATTATAGGGAATCTAAAGGTGTAATTTTAACTGTTAACAAGTTGAAGCTTCTGTACTTAATTTTTTTTTTGCAATTTTATTTTCCATTTTCTTTTTGCTGTAAAGAGTTTAGCTAACAGCCATTTTCTATTTTATGGCACTGGAGACTGCAGTGTGGGATTCTGGATGTGGATACTTGTGGGACTCTTTAAGGGCCACCCTTCTCTTCCAGATTTCCACCACTGTTAATGGCAGAAGTGTGTATAAGAAAGGCAAAACTTCTGAATGAAAATTTAGGAGTTGTTACTGTTTTAAAATGTTACAAAATATTTGAGCATTGAATAACGTATACATAAACATCCTGTTTTGATCAAGTTTTTCTGTGTTTATCTGAAGATCTGCTGTGTATGCATTCCCTAGTCGGCTGAAAATGAAATGTCTCCTACTTTAAGGTTTGAAGCGTACATAATTGTATGATGAGCTGCAGTGCAGCAATGTGAACTTCTCAATAAGGTGATAATCTACCTAAAATTATTTACTTAGTAAGTTTTAGAAACTGCCACTTAGTTGAGGAAGTGCCTGATGGCGCTATAGGGACTGTCCCACCACCAAATCTAACTGCTTTCTGAGTAACATTTACCTTAGATGCCTCTAATTGGCTCAGACTTGTCATCAGCATATATTATCTTTATGATTAAGTGTCACCATCTGGAAGCTCAAGAAATTTCCTTTAATTTAAGGAATGGGAAAGTGGGTAGAAAAAAAATAAATTGCCAGTTGTATACATATACAGGATGGTAGACTTCATAGGAAAAAAACCTAAGGAATTTGAAGTATTACATTTTTTAAAAGCTTTTTGCTTGATTTTACAGTAAATTTGGGGGCATGAATATAAATCAGCTGTATATTGCTAAGACTCTCACTCTGATATCTAGTCGTTTGATTGCCATGAAAAACACAGATTTAAAATATTTTGAGATAAGGTTAAAAATATTACTTCTGCTCTCTTTTTCAGTGTTCATGTATATTAGGTAAATTCTCTGTAGATGGCAGTATTGGTGGGTGCATCCTTAATTACTCCATTGGATTGAGACTTTGAAAAGTATTATCACTTAATGATCAAAGTTATTTTTTAACAAAATAAACATAAAGCAACTATGTTACAGATTTAATTACTAAGAATTTATAAAACCAGAGAATGCAACAGAATTATAATTGTAGATTTGACTGAGTGACAAGTCATCTTCCTCCCCACACCAGTCTTGGGCTGAATCTGCCTACCAGTGGTGACTCCAAAGCCAAAACATTTAATTCACCAGTAGCACAGCTGTCATTAAGATGTAAGAGTACAATGCCCCTGGTGTTATGTGGTGCCATTGTGGTTAGTTTCAGGGTGTAGACAGTTCTCTCCAGATTAAGTGTAGATTAAGTAATAGATTAATCTATTACAATTTTCTGTGGTAAACTTGTGGCTCCTGAATTCAAGAAGATTGGACATATGACCCTAGATGTATTTGGGGATTTCAAGGGATGAAATTCCCAAGGCTATAACCACCTGAAGCCTCTGGATGGTGCTGACATTCAGACTAGGGTGGGTATGATAGCTTCCTTTTTTTTAAGGATAAGTGAAGCAGGGACTTAAAGATATGAGAGGGACTACGAGTTTCAAGCAAACTAATTTATTTTTCAAAAACCCACATTTGAAAGTACTGCTTTGTTTATCAACTTTGTTTAAAAGTTTACAAAAATCATGATACACCAACAAATTCAGTTCTACTTAAAAAGATGAATTGGCCATGATCCTATTTGGGGCTCCATATCCTAGAGAGTTGTTGGTCCTTTGCCCAGTGATTTGAGAAACTGGCATTTTAAAGGCTGTTCCAAGGGAGAAGGGAGCCTGCTTCTGGTCCAGATTCTGTCCAGTGGTTTGGCATACGGAGGGACAGGATTTGGCCTGGGCTGTTTGTGGTAAGGATTTGGCTCTGTGCATCCAAACCTATGTCCTGTCTCTAGTTATTTCTCACCTTTTGTTTCTGTCCATTGTATGAGACTGAAAGAATGTTTATAACAAAACTAGATGTATTCCTACACATACAAGTTCAGGGAAGCCAAATGAAAGATAATTAGGACAAAAGAATGAGTGTGAAAGTTACAGAATTAAAATATTTTGAGAAAAGTTTAAAAATTCTTACTTCTACTTTCTTTTTCAGATCAAAAACTGATTTTTTTGGAATCATTTTTTAAAAAAATTTCCATTCCACTCTTTCAAGACACCACCACACCATGTGATTCACAATTTTAAAAAAATCACTCATATGGCAACCCAATTTAAGCAAAATTATATAGGATCCCTTGCTATGTGTATTCTTGCTCAGGAACCAGGTGGACTTAGATAGTGAGTCATATGTGTGTATAAAATGGAAAAAAGTTCCATGAAACAGTGTTTATTCTTATTACCAACAATGTACTCTAATATTTCCTATTCTGTACTGCTTGGTTTTATTCTAGTTCATTATAAAATATTGGCTGGACCCATCTGATTTCACATCCCACAAGTAGGTTGTGACTCAGTTCAAAAGGTGCTGTTTTAGGCCATAAATCTGTGTATGCCAGATTAAAGTATGAGGCAGAGTCCTTTTGAAAGACACCCTGCAGATGCCCCTGGTAATACTGAGTAGTGTCTCTGCACAGCTCAGTAGAGAAAAGTTCTCCTATCTTTACCTCCAGCATTATAGGGTTTCCCTTTTCAAACATTTTTGGGAAAACTCTAGTATCTCCAAAGACCTCCTGGGTACACTGTACTTTGGACTAGCTGAGTGGAGGAGGAGACTGGACCAGGGGCACTTTCACCGTGGAGCAGAGGAATCCAGAGGCCCGAGCAGGGCTGTATTCTCCTTGGTAACCCATAACTTTGGCCCTAGGTAATGGCCAGCAAATGCTTCCTGCAAGGAAACAGTACATTTTCTAATGGAAACAGAAGGGCTCTACCCAGGGCTCCTGTTGAGAAGGAATTAGATCCTCTGCTTACCTTTTACCCTTCCTTCTGTTTGTTTGAGCCCCTCCTTGAGATGTTCTTAGACAGCGCTTCTCGGGTCTTGGTCTTTCGCTCTCACTGTCCTTTAGGGCTCCCCAGCCTATCGAGTGTATCCTCACTGGCTACGGATCTCCTGCCACACACACTGCACTTGGTATCTTAAGCTTTTTGAGGGATAGTGTGTTTTTTTAATCCTAATAGGAATTTAAAATGTATCTGTTCAGTCCCTCTCTTGTTCTCTGTGCACCTAATTTTTTTCTCTGGCAGTTGACTCAGGAGCAAGGTGGGATTGCAAGTGGTGGGGATGCACAGGCTCTTTGCGTGAAAACTAACAACAAGCTCCTGGAAGGCAGGATCTGTGGATCTGGCTGGTTCAGTACAGTATTGTGTGCTCATTGCCTAGCACAGTGCTCAGTATTCAACAAGTAATTTTAAAGAGAAAGAGAATGAATGAATGATAACAAGATGGGCCAAGCACAGTTGGACATGTAGTTGGTCTCTGTCAGTCCTGATGTGAAGATCTCCATTCTAGTGACCTAAGAGAAAGGAAAATCTGATGAGCTGTGTATCTTCTCCCTGAAACTTGTGTGACTGTGATCCTAATCTCACTCTGTGTTGGTTTCCTTTGTTCGCAGTGGGAGTGTTGATAACTGCCACTTCTGTAGTTTGTAGATGTTGAATATAATGCTACTTTTCTGTTGGTAGAGTGTTTTGTGGCTCTGAAATGAAAGGGGTTCAGTTTCACCTTCACTATTGTTTTACCACAGGCATGTTAGAATTAGGAGTTAAATCACCTTGAATTCAAAGGAATGAAATGCCTCCAAGCTACGCCAACCACTAAAGTTGATATATAGTAAATGCTAAATTTGGAAATACTTTCATTATAAAGAGCCTTAAAATCAAGTGAAGACTATGATAGGATCATTACTTTAAGAACACACTATTTTTCCGTATTTAAATACTGTTACAAGGGTAAAAAGTACTCCTAATTTAGAGAAAAAAAAAAGACAGGTGCTATCTGTTTCTGACTTGTTCTCAAGAAC